AAAAGATTCTCGTGCCGAAGAAGAAATATTTATTATTAAGACAGCTTTTTATTTTCAAGGATATTGATTTTTTTTTAAGATATAGATTTTAATATCTAAACAAATCGGCTGGATGCTACAGTTCAGTGGGTTTTTTTTTCTGTTTGGCGTTACTAAAGTGAAAACATGTAGGAATATTTTGACAAAAATCTTGATATTGATGTATTAAATTGCATAATTTTCAAATGTGAAAGTATGGATTTATATTATCAAATATATTTTCAAAAATTATTGTTTGTTTGATTTTCCTAAGGCAACTGAATAACAAGCATTGAAAATTTTGGCATTGTCATATATAATTCCCTGATGCATTAAGACTTAACATTAAAAATGCATATTTTTTCTGTTATAGGATAACTGTCCCTTGCACAATTGCCCCAACAGGATAACTACCGTCAGATAATGGTAAGGGCATTTAAAAAAAAAAGTTTTGCTTTTACTTCAATAACAAAGTTAAATTTCTAAAAGCCATCATGAAGATTATGCGATTATCCTGACCTAACTTGACCTAACCTGTTCTGACCCTACCTAACTTGATCTGACCTGACCTGTTAAACCAGCAGGTTTAACGACATGCCAGTGACCTGTCTGAAATCAATTTTTGACCTGATCAAAGTGCATCTACAACTCTAATTTTTGCTATATCATCATGGAGTCCGTCCAAAATATTATTAGATAATTCTTCTTATTGGATAACATGAAATGTTAGAATTGATTATTTTAATTATTTTTATAAACATTTGTTTAACCAGACAGCTATCAATTATGTAATGAGTAATTATTGTATTTGTGTATAGCCCACAACTCGAAATTTTTGTTGTATAATTATAATGATATAAAATACACTTCTTATTGGATAATAGATAAAACATGAAAATAAAAGCCTAATTAATTCTATTAGTATTTAGTTCCATAAAGTTGTGCTTTTTTTTTTAATTTTCGCTTAATCGGGGCAATTGTCCGTGAAGCCATTGTCCAGGTGCAGTTGATCAGAGGGTGATGCAGTTGTCCTGGGGGTAGTTCATCTGAAAACATTTTCTCATGTAATCCATTAAGCTACATTTAAAAATAATGACATGTATTCAGATAATAATCTCCCAGGTAACTATTTACATGGCTCGGACAGTTGTCCTCAGCTTTCTTGCCATAATCAAGACGTTTCGGTCGTTGTTGCGCTCCGGGCTTCTTCAGGTGATATATGTTGGAATTTCGAACCGAACCCTTTATTTAGTTCGCGGGGTTAGATTGTTCTAATTTCACATGCCATGCCTTTTGTTGATGTGGGGGATCTCAGTTTTGTTTATTTCACTTTAGTAATTCTACTCTTCGAGTTTTTGTTCCATCTACTGGGGCCAGGTATTGAACTGTCAACTCTTTGAGTCAAGTCACTTTTTAGATTACTTAACCAAAAAAACTAACAGGAGTTAACAGATAACTGACATCCATTGGATTATTGTCCTCATCTTTATCGCCATATTTATTACAATGTTTCGGATATTGTACGCTTTGGCCTTCTTCAGGTAGTTGGAATGTCAATATGAACCCTTTATTTCGCTCACTGGGGTAGACTGTTCTAGTTCCACGTGCAATGTCTAATAGATGTCAGTTATCAGTTATCTCCTTTCCAAGTTCTCCACCGATTTAACCGGGTATTGAACTGCCACTCTTTGGGTCCTGACACTGGATCTAACTAATGCCTTCATCCACTGTGCCATGTGTCCTTGAGGACATTCCAACCCTCTGAGCACACAACGACCGAAACGTTGTAATAAATATGGTGACAAAGATGAGGACAATAGTCCGAATAATGTAAATAGTGAATTAAATTATTTTTCAAATTGTTGTTTTTTAGAAAATATATATTTTTTACATGTTACTGCATGCTATCACTTATTTATTTTCATGAAATTTTGTAAAATTCTTTTTTGTAGTACTTAATGTTTATATTAGCTTTAAGCACAACTCCTTGGAGAATATAAATCCTCAATTTTTTTATCCAAAATGTCGTGAATATGGCAATAAAAATGAGGACAACAACCCAAACAATGTAAATAGTTACAATACCTCATTGGAAAAAGAAAGACAGATCTTCCAGGTAACGGTTATTTTTGGTTTGGTCTGGTTTCCTTTACGAAATATCAACCACAATAGGTTATTTAACGCCGACAAGATTTTTTATTGTTGGTAATATTTTTTTTCAAATATGTATTGCAGCTAAAATTTTTTCGTGAAAAGTTTATTGCTGGTACTAATTTTTACAATAATGTATTATTTATATTAAAACCTAATTTTACATTTCATAGTGTTTTAAGCCCAGTTTGGGGGGGGGGTTAACTATTTGCCCATAGATGGGACCCTAACAGGTGCTAGTACCCCAGGTCAGTGTTGACCTGGGAACACCAGCAATTAAGAGGTGGTTCCCCACTCCTAAAAACATCCCGATCGGAGGCCTTGCTGTTGAATGTAGTTTATCGTCTTACCACGGAAACTAATCGGGTTTTATTATTTCTAATTTTCCTCCTGCTTATATACAATGAATACGTTAACTCACCAAATTATTTTGTTAATAAATATTGGTTTTAAATATTATGTATACATAATATCGTAATATCCACTATTGTATCAGTGAAATATGAATTGTATTCATCTTCTGTAAAACAAAAGCAGATAGCTGAAGATGTGACTAAATTTACAGAATAGAATTTACAAAAATTATCAAATTTATTTCAAGTATTTTCAAACTTTGTTGAAATATGATTTTGTAAAACATTGAACTTGCTTACTGATTATGTTATACAATTATATTTTCTATGCTTTTAATCAATTAATATAAACAAAAAAAATTACATTATTTCTATACTATATGTTTCCAATTTGCGACGAGTAATGTGATTGTTTTGTATATTTAGTTTGTAGAAGTGGTTAGTTTTATTCTTTTTTAGTTGATTTGAATTTATGGAAATAATTGTTATAGTTGTCATGAGCTTCATAATAATTAGTATAGGTGCTAATCAACTAAAGATTGGTTACTAGTAACAAATTTCTGGCTAAAAATATTCTCGGCAATACTTATGTAATAATAATTTAGGTTTTTACTTGTCCGCCCTGAGTCGTGGGCAGCAGTTGCATGGCAATTAGGCCTGTTATAGGTAATGTCTTGGGTGATCTATATTGAGAGAAGCGACATATTTTCACTTTTTCGTTTTTTTTTTCAACTCTGGTTATTTATTTGAATGATTTTATTTTTCTTTAATCATTTTTTCTTTTCTATTTATGGTGTTTAATGAAGTGTTTTTAAAATGATTTTAAATTATTTTGTTTGGTGAATGTGCTTTTTTAACTGCTCCTCTCACAGGCAGATATATATATATATATATATATATATATATATATATATATATATATATATATATATATATTTGTTATTTATATATTAGTGTCATCCTTCTTTGTTATTTGAAAATAGATTTCGTTCGTTGAATACAAATGGAGGTTTTGTCAGTGATTTAGAAAACGATTTTGTTGTTTTTGTTTCCTTTCAGAGCAGACTTTTAATGGCTTAAGAATTTCTACGTATTTTTCTGTTTTTTAAATTACATGATATTTTATTATTCTTACTTATGCTGCTTTAAATCTTTTTAGAAGAATTCTTTTCTTCCACGTTGATTTCTCTTTATCTGTGCAACTGTTTTCTAACTATATTAAATTAACAGCGCACACTCAATATGCATATATATATATATATATATATATATATATATATATACACATATTTTATTTTGTCTTTATATATATATATATTGCTTGTGTTTATATACATATATACATGTATATTTTATCTTATTTTCATATATACATATGTATATTTTATTTTGTGCTGATACATATATATACATATATATATATATATATATATATTATTTTGTGTTTTCATATATATATATGTCTGTATATATTTTATTTTGTGTTCATATATATACCTATGTATATTTTAATTTGTGTTCATATATATATATATATATATATATATATATATATAATTTTGTGTTTTCATACATATATCTATTTTATTTTGTGTTTATATACATATATATGTGTATATTTTTATTTTGTGTTATATATATATATATATATATATATATATATATAATTTTTATATATATATATATATATATATATATATATATATATATATATATATATATATATATATATATATATATATATATATATATATATATATATATAATGTACGTATGCTTACCTTATTTGTTATATACATATTTATATCTTCTTTTAATGATTTCGTTCTTTGGAATTCTCTTCACTTTATTCCTTAGTTTGACGTTCGTTTTTTTTTAATGGTTGTTTAGCCTTTCCACAGTTTCTCTACCGACTCGGATCTGAGAATTCCGTCACTCTCTTTCAAATCCATCATGTTCCTATTCTTCACTCCCATCCGCTCTTTATATCCGCTATTTCTAGCAAACTTCTCGCCTTCTTTATGTATTATCGACTTTCTATCGATTTTCATTGATCTTTTCTTCTACGTTTTCCTCCATATTTTTCTCTCACGTTGTTCTCACTTTCGACAGTTTTCTTTTTTTCCTTTCTCGCATTTGAAAACTTGTTATTTTTTTTTTTGTTAAATGCACTGAATTACGACTGATTTCTTTACAGTCGTCTCTCTGTTATTTCTCATTCTTTCATGTGCCATCTCTCCTTTCTTCGTCGTATTCATACATAACACTTTGCTTATTTTCGCTCTCTATTCCATTCTCCCTCTCTCATATCTCCTTTTCTCTTTTCTTTCTTTCTATTTTTCCTCACAATCGAAACCTTTTTTTTTGTCGTTAATCACGTCGAATTTTTACTGACTTCTTTTTTTTCATTAATCTCTCTGTTGTCTCGCATTCTTTCACAAACTCTCACATTTCTCCCTCATTTTTATTCTCAACCCGATGCTCATTTCTCTCTATATTTCATTCCACCTCTTTCTTTTACTCTCAACTTTTCTTTTTCTCTTTTCTTTCTCTTCTTTTTTCTTTCTGGTTCTTTTTTTGTTTCTCCCAATCGAAACCTTGTTTTTTGTTGTTAATCTCTACCGTCTTCTTCTTCAGTTTAGTCTCTCTTTTCTTTCTCATTCTTTCAAATGCGCTCGATTTTCTCCCTCGTTTTCACATCCAACCGAATTGCCCATTTTCATTCTCTATGTCTTTCTTTCTGTCTGTTTCTCTATCTCTTCCTCTTATCTTCTCTTTCTCTTCCACCTTCATCACTTTCATGTTTTCCATCAGAGTTTCCAAGTCTTATCGCGACCTTATTACAAAGTAGAACCCGTACGGGTGTTGGGAAAAACATGATTTGAACCCAGATGTGAAACGAAATGAATCATATCTCTACATTGGTCAGGTTGTAATTACGACGTGTTGAACTTATCAGGGGAGACAAACACAAAATACATTAAAAGAAAAAAAAAGAAGCATACGCAAATTAAAGTCAGAAAAAAATTTCTTTTCTTCTGTAAGTCTTGTTGATTCAAATAGAATTTTTCTAGAATCACGACTCCATCTCTCCAATGGAAGACCATCATTTCTGTCGACATTGAAATTTTCTCTAAAACAAATCGACGAAGCCTTTTCTGAAAGGATAAGACATTTATCCAAGAGTTTTATTTATTTTTCGATTATTTAAATCATGTAGTCAACGTTCTTTATTTGTTTTGTCAAGGATATTTTATTTCTTAATACATCTTCAGAACTGATATGTTTGGTTGATAATTCGCCAACTTTTGCAATGAGGTTTCTTGCCTTCAATAGAAAACATCACGCGAATTCAAGGTTAACAAAAGTGGAACTTGGTAATAAAAGAAAATGATATAAAAATTATTGAAAAAGAAGCTAAATTTAGATTTTCTCATACGTGCATAGCTCAATTGTTACGCATATAGGATTTAGGGTCAATAGTTTTGAGGTTTTATCAGTTGGACCTTATATTGCTGGTGCAAATCTTACCTGTGTAATATATAGACGTAGTTAAGTTAACCGCTGTCAAAAATGCCTCTATGAAATTGTAAATACAGATATTGCACTTGAGCCCATAGCCTAGTGGTTTTATAGAAAGTACAGAATCAGGATCGGATAGCAGAACTTTCCACTGACCTAGTTCTCACAGCTTAATGTAGGAAAATAGCGATTCGTATCGTTTCATCACCACTGACCGGAGTCTATATCTTCTCGTTCTGACAAGAGGTTTTACATTCAATTATGCTCCTTGCCTTGAACTTTTTTTTTTTTTTACCCAAAACAAGAGGAAAATGCTACTAAGACACAGGGCGTTACTGGGAGTGAAAGAAAATAAGAAAGATTTGGTGAGGACAAAGGACAATAAAATTCAGGAAGAAAGAAGATGGTAATGGACGCTACGTTTGAATTTGGGAAAGACTGTAGGTGGCAGGGAAGCAAGAAACCGGAAGTGAATTCCACAGGTAATAAGTGCGAGAAATGAAACTATTAGAAAAGAAATTACGTTTGCATCTAGTTGTTTCGACATTAACATCAAGGTACCTAGTTGCCAGTCGGGAAGGATGAGGTACCAAGGTGGAAGGCTCCTTAGAAGAAATGCAATGAAAATATCTATAAAAAAAGATATCGGGAAGCCACAGCAAGACGGTGGGAAAGTGACCGAAGACAATATGCCTGGTCAGTACCGATAACATTACAGAACCTTCTTTGGATTTTGCCGTGAATCTTGAGATATAAAGAAGGACTACCAAACTAAATATGCTAGCAATAGTCAATGCACACATGAATGGGAGATTCATAAATATGCAAGATGGATTCTAACTAGACAGTCTGGCTCAGCCAACTCTTCTAGCACCTGACATAAAAACTGATTCAATATAATCACTCTACTACATGTCACACACACACACACACACACACACACACACACACACACACACACACACACACACACACATATATATATATATATATATATATATATATATATATATATATTTAATCATTTCAATACATTCAAGGTGATAATGCCAGTAAGATGCAGGGGGCTGCTCGGGATGAAAGAGAATTAGAAATTATTAATAAGGAGAAAGGATAATAAAAGGACAGATTTCAGGAAGACAGAAGATAGCGATTGACGTTGCATTTAAATTTTCGGAGATCCGAAGTTGTATGGAAGCAGGACACCAGATGAAATTTCATCAGTTGATAAAAGCGAGAAAAAAACTATTAGAATAGAACTTATGATTAAATCTATATAAACAGTAAAACGATAAGTCCTAATTTCTAAACTAATAGTACACATAAATTCATTCGGCTGGAGTACCAAAGTGGAAACCTCCTTAGAACAACTGCAATGAAAATATCTATAGAAAAGAAATCGGGAAGCCACAGCAAGACGGTAGGAAAGTGACCGAAGACAATATGCCAGGTCAGGACCGATAACATCACAGAAACTTCTTTGGATTTTGTCGTGAATCTCGAGATATATAGAAGGACTACCAAAGTAGATATGTTAGCAATATTCAATGCACACATGAATGGGGGATTTATAAATATGCTAGATGACTCAGCACATTGAACCAACTCTTCTAGCACCTGACATAATAATTGATTCAATATAATCATTCTACTACATGACATATATATATATATATATATATATATATATATATATATATATGTATAATTATTTATTTAAAATATGATTTCAACTCGCGACATAAGAGGTCTCATGTTTCAAAACAAGAGCCGAAAACTTCAATATAATTATTTGAATTAAATTGAGTTAAAGTAAGCTCTGTTCCATCTTCAAGCCAAATTTTTCTTGGAATAACGTATTTCTGAAATTTACGTGTTTTAATAATTGAAATCAAAATTTCCATGGTAACAGCTAGGGCGAATTGTTTAAATTTGGTAGGCGCGTGTTGGGTGTTAATAATAAGTATCAGTAAAGAGTTACTTTCATAGATGTCAAGTCAGGGTAAGGTGGGGGTGTCTAAATTTGAAACGGAAGATTTATTAACCCTAGTCTGGTATGCGTGTCTATGGAGATCTATTTATTTTTTTATTTTATTTTTTATGAAAGGGATTTGTGCATATAAAAAACTGCCGTAACGTTTGTTTTTTGACGACTTCATAAAGGGTTATGTTTTTTGTAGGGTATTTAAACTATTTATTTGGGCTATGGACTATGAAAGTTATTATATTGTATGCTTGTTCTTAGCTAATTATTCAAACCATTTCGAAGAATCTATTACGACTGCCCTGGACTTTGCTGCTGTGTATTCTAACATGACAAAGGAAGAAATAGATACAATCCTCAGCGCAAAGAAATCGGTCCTCATTCATAATGGGGACCAATGGATAAAAAACAATAACGTCCTGTTTGACATCACTATGGGATCATTAGACTCTGCGAGTCGTCTGACATTGTTGGTCTTCTAATATTTACTTGATTCCCACTAAATCAAATTTAACGTCGATTAACGTGGGAGAATTTTATAGGCCACTGGTCAAAATTTGGACATCGCTTGACTGTATAGTCAAAGATGGTCATGGTAATACTGACAATTTAACGACACAGCGAAATTTTATATTAAGGACAAATATAGAGAAAAGTTCTACTAGTTTTAAGATAGACAAAATCAGAAAAATTATATTATATATATATATATATATATATATATATATATATATATGAATATATATATATATATATATATATATATATATATATATATATATAAACACACACACACACACACACACACACACACACACATATATATATATATATATATATATATATATATATATATATATATATATATAAGGATCAAACACTAATATTCCATGGTTATAATGTATTACATTGGATTTTTTTTTTAATTTATAGGTCTGATAATTGGATCGTGATTACGATTCCAATGTAATAAATTATAACCAAGGAATATTAGTGCTTGAACTTTTTATATTATGTTCTTACTCTGTCCTGCAAAATGATTTCTACCTGGATTCTATCCTCTCGAAATTTTTATCTATATATATATATATATATATATATATATATATAAAGACATTTTTATGTTTATATACTTAAATATTTTTATCTATAAAAAAACGTATAAACATAAAATGTCTTTATATATATATATATATATATATATATATATATATATATATATATATATATGGATATGAGTTTCATTTTGGAGGCATTAAAATTTACAAGCCATTTCTTTCCACAGTTAACTGATTACAGATAATTTTCGAGAACAGCTTATTGGACTTATTATTGAGATAGTTGTGTCATCAGCATAAATACTGTTGTAACCTAGGGAATGTCATTGAATAGAATAATCACACGAAAGTTGGTAATGAATGATAATACTTAGGACAAGAACAACGCATATAAGATTCACCAGCGGTGAGCAGAAGTAGTAGTCACCTGTTAGAAGTATGTCAAGTGAATTGCACAATGAATCTCCACCTGCAGACCGCCGACAGTATCTACCAACTGCCCTAGGCAATCAGATGTGGCGCGAAGCCGAATTAATGTAGTGTTCCCGATCCCGTCGTTTCAGCCAAAAATTCCCCATAGACACCATATAAAACGGGGTCAGGTTTTTTCTTCCGAGACGAGACCCTGCTCTTCGACATAACCCCGTCTGGGGATGGTCTCTGTCCGGAGGCTGAGAGGTTAACCAGCCGAGATGGAGACGAATCTCCAACTGCTGGCCGGCAGACGGTATCTACCAACTGCACCACGCAGTCCGATGTGGCACAAGGCTGAAATTAATGTGGGGTTCCGAGGCCGTAGGCTCTGCCAAAATTTCCCTGTAGACCCTTATAAAACGGGGTACGGTAGGTATTCCTCGAGACGTGACTCTACCCTTCGCCATAGACCCGACTGAAGACAAACATACAGTATTCAC